TATGCTCTTTTCTTTTGCCTATTGCCTTTTATATTGTTTTTTAATAATGTTTTTTTAAAAATACGTTTTTGCTTTAGCTTTAGAAATGGTCAAAATGATCTACTAATAATTTTTAAATTTTATTTTTTTAAAAAAATTAAATATCATAATAATTTTTTATAATTTGTAAATAAAAGAGTAAAATAATATTTTATATTATTAGAACATATTTAGTATAATTTCACTTATTATTATTGCTCAATTAGAAACTTTATTAAAATAATATTAAAAAATATATATAAGAATAGATTCGTTATCTTTAATCTGGTTTTAACATAACACAAATTATATGAATTATTAATCATTAATACTGGTCTTTGTAATTATGAAATCTAAAGCTTATTAATATATACTAGTTATTACAATTACTACAAAGCTTTAAACTATAGTTATCTGATTCTTATCCTATTAGATAGTTATGAAGCCTAACATTAGCTAAAACTAACTTCTTGTAATACAATTACAACTATGAAGTCTATTCTTTATAAAAACTATTAATAACATAGGTATATATTACTTAAACTGAAAAGAGCTATCTGAAAAAATAAAAAAAAAAGAAGTAATAAAGCTAGTCTCTATACAAAACAAATGATAATAACAAGAAAACTAAAGTTATTACATACCTTTTAAAAACTCTATTTATATATAAAAAAATCTCTACTTCTTTATCTCTAGCTTAAGATAATCTATCTCCATGAGTTGTTAATATTTATCTTTTATATTGTAGAGGGATGCAGGCAAATTTGCCTACATAATTGCCTAAATATAAGAATTCATTAAAGCCAGGTACCATTACGTAATCTAGTGATCATCAGCATCTTGCTAGCTAGCTTCTGGAGCTAATTTTATCATGTGATAAAGCAATCACTTGAAAATTACATCAGGTAATTTTAACAAAAAGACAGCTCTGTTTGGTTAATTCAATTGTAAGCAAACCTGATTAATTGTAATTTCTTTGAACTCAATTATTGCAGTTTGCGAAAATATAAAATTTGCTAGTCAAAAAAAAAAAAAGAAATCGATGATTCTATCGATTTTTTTTTTTTTTTTTTTATTGATCATTAAATTTTACATAATTAATTAGTGGCACAGGTAATTTTTCTAAAAAGAGAATAAAATTTATTTAGCAGAAAATATTTATTATGTAAATATAACAAATTTTTCAGTAGGTCTAAGTAAAATTTTATTTATTTTTTTTTATTAAAAGTTTTTGCTAACTATAAAATTCTCTTTTTTTATTTCTAAAAAATAGAATTTAAACAAAATTTTAATTTTTTAATAAATTCAGCTTTCTTGTTTTTATCACTATTTTCCTCTATACTCTGATACTAATTATAGGTCCTTTCCATTAGCTCATGAACAGTAAGTTTTCTATTCATTACCACTCTATCAGTTTTGTTCTTTTCAAATAGTTCTAAACTTACTAACTCATGATACTCAAAAAATTCGAAACTACTTTCATTAAACATTCGTTGAAAATTTCTCTAAGCATTAGCTGTTAGCAATTTCCTGGGACCATACATTTGCTTATAAAAGATATGCTTGCAAGGAAGCATATATTTTCGAAAAAAAAGGTAGTGACATTCAGGTATCTTTAACCTGAGCAATACTTTCTCTTTTTCTATTCTACTCACAACAGCAAAAACTTCACCAACTATTAATTTTTGAATCAGAAAGAAAAATTTGTAAATCTCCTGAATTATATTATTATTGATATCAGGAGCTAAAATTTTTTTAATATGAAATTCGAAAGCAACAAAATTTGAATCCTAACACCTTTTTAAATCAAGTGCAATGATATTATTATATATACTGATTAAACTGTAATGAGGAGAAGTCGTTTACTTTAACTCGCTATGATATGATTCTAAAGAATTCGTTAATATTACTTGCAAAAGTAATGGAGAATACTAGCAGACCCACAATACCCACTAGTATATATTTTTCAAATAGTACCTTGAAATGTATTTTTTAATAGCAGGAAGGGTACTTTCATTAATTGATTTTTGAACAAGCATCTTACAACTGATCTTTGAAGAACCATTAAAGCTAGGTACTATTATATGATCCAATAGTCATCAGCCTGACTATTCAGAAGCTGAAGATATTATATAAGAAGACAATAGCTAATTAAATTCAAGAAATTTCTTGATATAAAAATAGATTATGTTTAACAAGATTATGTTTGATAATCAACAATAATCAACAAGTGAAACAAATATGTTTGTAATAAGAATGTACAACTTCTTACAAACCTTTATAAAAAAAAATACTACGAGAAAACTCAGTACTCTTGTGAAATAAACTTTAAAAAAAAAAATTATATAAACTTCGTACTTTAACAACAAATAAAAAAATTTGCACTTCAAAAAAAAAAAAAAAAAATAAGTACCTCTGATAAAGAAAACTCCTCTCAGGTTTGATATATCTTTTCTAATACAAACAAGAACCTTGTACAAGACCTTTCGCAACAAACATCCAGTTTTCTACAACTATTTACTGAACAAACCATAGTGATGAATCCTATTTCAACAATAGATTAACACCTAACCAATGACACATATTGCTTTTTAACCTTTAGCAACCATTCGAAGTGCTAATGGAAGAATTTGATGCCGAATAGTGGCCTTTAGTAACAAACATTTGGATGAAATTTAACTAAAAAATCTTGTCAATGGAAATTTTTAGAAAATCTTTGTATGACATTTTAACAAGCCCTTTAAATCAAGCACATGCAAAGAAGATATTCCAATTGAAAAATGATGAAAAACAAAAGTTTAAGACGCAAACTTATATTCTGCAAAAATAAAAGTAATATAGCTGGTTACTGAAAAGAAAGTACATGTTGAATGTATCCTAAGTTTTCCAAACTACACACATGATCTAGAAAAAAGTAAAAGATTAAAATGGTCCCAAGCAGTTCAGGCTTTAGTATAAAAAGAGGTAGTTAAAAATTATCTCACTCCTGCAATAGTTAATATAGTTAAAGAGTATGCCACTAAAAAGCTAGATCTTAGTATAAGCATAAAAGAGCTAAAATAGAGGGAGGTTGATAATATAAAGTATAAAGTTCGTAGACCTCAAAATATATATTTTGTCAGTACCTTTAATCTAACACAAGATATTTGTGATGCAGTTTCTTTTTTAGAAAAAGAATGGTATCTTGTTAAATCATTCTGAATTTAGCATCAATCTACTCATAGCTTTGTTTTTGCATATCCAAAACAACTCAAAAAACTTCAACAGCATGGATGGCTTACTCTGATCGATTCCACACATAAGACTAATAAATATAACTGATGTCTGTTTACGCTATATTTTCAGAACAGATTTAGTTGTTAGAATATCAGTGAACATTTTTTTGTTAGTAATGAAGACAGTAATACAGTCTTGGAAATGTTAGTGATAATGTGGTAGTTTTGTAGCTTCTAAAAACCTTGATATTTTTTATCAGACCAAAGTAGCGTAGAAGCCAGAAGTATTATGACAGCTATCTCAGGTCTCCAAAAAGGTGAGCAGAAATATAAGGTAGTTCTTTGCATTGTACATGTTATGCAAACTTGAATAAATAAAATCTATGAATCAGAAACTAAGAGCAAGATAATCCAAGCTATGCACAAGCGAACAAAGATCAGGATCTGTTAAAGCTAGATACAATTACATAATCCAGTGATCATCAGTGTTCTGCTAGCTAGCCTCTAGAGCCAATTTTATCATATGATAAAGCAATCAGCTAAAAATCATGTCAGGTGATTCTAACAGAAAGACGGTCTTGTTTGGTTGATTCAATTGTAAGCAAACCTGATTAATTGCAATTTCTTTGAACTTAATTATTACAGTTTATAAAAATGTAAAATTTGCTAGTCAAAAAAAAAAAGAAATCGATGATTTCAGCGATTTCTTTTTTTTTTTTTTTATTGATTAGCAAATTTCACATAATTAATTAGTAGCACAGGTAATTTTTCTGATAAGAAAATAAAATTTATTTAGCAGAAAATATTTATTACGTAAATATACCAAATTTTTCAGTAGGTCTAAGTAAAATTTTATTTATTTTTTTTTATTAAAAGTTTTTGCTAACTATAAAATTCTCTTTTTTTATTTCTGAAAAACAGAATTTAAACAAAATTTTAATTTTTGAATAAATTCAGCTTTCTCATTTTCATCGCCATTTTCCTCTATACTCTAATACTGATTACAGGTCCTTTCTATTAGCTTATTAATAGTAAGTTTTCTATTCGTTGCCATTCTATTAGTTTCATCCTTTTCAAATAGTTCTAAACTTACTAACTCACGATGCTTAAAAACTTTGAAACCACTTTCATCAAACATTCATTGAAAATTTCTCTAGCATTAGCTATTAGCAATTTTCTGAGACTATACGTTTGCTTGTAGAAGATATGCTTGCAAGGAAGTATATATTTTCAAAAAAAAAGCAGTGACATTCAAGTATCTTTAACCTGAGCAATGCTTTCTTTTTTTCTATTCTACTCTCAACAGCAAAAACTTTACCAACTATTAATTTTTGAATCGGAAAGGGGAATTTGTAAATCTTCTGAATTATATCATCATTGATACTAGAGCAGAAATTTTTTAACACAAAATTCAAAAGCAACAAAATTCAAATCCCAACACCTTTTTAAATCAAGTATAACAATGTTATTATATGTACTGATTAAACTGTAATGAGAGGAAGTCATTCTCTTTAACTCACTATAGTATGATTCCAAAGCATTCGCTGATGTTATTTGCAAAAGTAATGGAGAATGCTAGCAAATCTACAATGCCTACTGGTATGTATTTTTCAAATAGTACTTTGAAATATATCTTTTAATAACAGGAAGGGCATTTTCATTAATTGATTTTTGGACAAGCATCTCACAACTGATCTTTGTTCACTTGTGCATTACTTGAATTATCTTGCTTCTAGTTTCTAATTCGTAGATTTTATTTATCTAAGTTCATATAACATGTATGGTACAAAGAACTACTTCATATTCCTGCTCACCTTTTTGGAGACCTGGGAAAGCTGTTATAATACTTCTGGCTTCTACGCTACTTTGGTCTGATAAAAAATATTGAGGTTTCCAGAAACTACAAAACTGCCACATTATCACCAATACTTCTGTGACCATATCGCTGTCTTCATTACTAATGAAAAAATGTTCACTGACATTCCAACAACTGTATCCATCCTGAATATATAGTGTAAACAGATGCTAGTTATATTTATTGGTCTTGTGTATGGAGTTGATCAGAGTAAGCTATCCATGCCATTGAAGTTTTTTGAGTTGTTTTGGATATGTGAAAACAAAGCTATGAGTAAATTGATGCTAAATTTAGAACAATTCAACAAGATACCCTTCTTTTTCTAAAAAAAAAACTGCATTACAAATATCTTGTATTAGATTAGAGGCACTGACAAAATGAGTATTTTGAAGTCTACGAACTTTATACTTTATATTAGTAACCTCCCTCTATTTTAGCTCTTTTACGCTTATACTAATATCTAGCTTTTCAGTGGTATACTCTTTAACTATATTAACTATTGCAGAAGCAGAATAATTTTTAACTACCTTTTTTTCCATCAAAGCTCAGACTGCTTAGGACTACTTTAATCTTTCACTTTCTTCTAGGTCATAAGTATGGTCTAAATATGTTCAACATAAATTTTCTTTTAGTAACCAACTACATTACTTTTATTTTTATAGAATATAAGTTCATATCTCAAACCTTTGTTTTACTTTTTTAGCCTCTTTAG